ACCAAGATGAGGGAAACTATCTTAAAAGGCCCATATCAAGCAGTGAAATAGACACAGCAATAAGAGACATCCCATCTAAGAAAAGCCCAGGACCAGATGGTTTTACAGCGGAATTCTACAAAGCCTTCAAAGTAGTAGTAGTAGTAACCTTCATCCCAAAACTAGGCAGAGACTCATCAAATAAAGAGAACATAGACCCATATCTTTGACAAACATTGATGCAAAACTTCTCAACAAAATTTTGACCAATCGACTTCAACAATTCATCCAAAAAATCATATACCACGATCAAACACGATTCATTTCAGGGATGCAAAGCTGGTTCAATATACGCAAGTCAATTAACATAATTCATCACATCAACAAAGGCAAGGATAAGAACTATGTGGTTATCTCAATAGATGCAGAAAAAGCATTTGACAAGATCCACCACCCACTTATGAAGGTTCTGGGAAATTTTGGAATCCATGGAACATTCCTCAATACAATAAAGGCTGTATATGACAACCCTACAGTCGGCATTATACGCAATGTGGAAGAACTAAAGCTATTTCCTCTAAACTCAGGAATGAGACAAAGATGCCCACTCTCTCCACTGCTCTTCAATCTAGTATTAGAATGCCTAGCTCCAGCAATAAGACAAGATGCAAACATAAAGGGGATCCAAATAGGGAAAGAAGAAGTAAAACACTCCCTCTTGCAGATGACATGATCTTGTATATAAAGAATCCCATGGACTCTGCTCCCAAATTACTCAAGGTGATTCAAAATTTTGGCAAAGTAGCAGGGTATAAAATTAAACCTCAAAAGTCAATGGCTTTTCTGTATGTCAACAATGAGAAAAGTGTGGCTGAAATTAAGAAAGCAATTCCATTTGTAATAGTCCCACAAAAAATAAAATACCTAGGAATTAACTTAACCAAAGAAGCAAAGGACCTCTATGATGAAAACTTTAAAAACCTGAAAAAGGAAATCAAAACAGAACTTAGGAAGTGGAAAAATCTCCCATGCTCTTGGACTGGAAAGATCAACTTCATGAAAATTGCAATACTGCCCAAGGCTATCTACAAATTCAATGCAATACCTATCAATATTCCAACCTCATTCTTCAAGGAAATAGAAGAGGCAATCCAAAAATTCATATGGAACAATAAAAGACCCCAAATAGCAAAAACGATCCTTAACAGAAAGAACAGTGCTGGAGGAATATCAATACCGAATTTCAAAGTCTACTACAAAGCCATAGTAATCAAAATAGTTTGGTACTGGCACAAGAACAGACCCCAAGACCAATGGAATAGAATTGAAAACCCAGAAATGAACCTAAAGACTTATAGCCATCTAATCTTCGATAAGGGAACTAAAGAAATAGAATGGAAGAAAGACAGCATCTTCAGTAAATGGTGCTGGCAAAATTGGTTAACTACTTGTAGAAAATAAAGCTAGATCCTTACATATCACCCTGCACCAGAATCAACTCCAAATGGATCAAAGACCTCGGAGTCAAAGCAGACACTCTGAAAACATTACAGGATGGAATAGGAGAAACCCTAGGTCTCCTTGGCACAGGCCAAAATTTTCTTAATAGAGACCTAGAAACACAACAAATCAAAGAAAGGTTGGATAAATGGGATTGCATGAAATTTCAGAGCTTCTGCATGGCAAAGGACATAGCTAGCAAGATCAATAGAAAGTCCACGGAATGGGAAAAGATCTTCACTAGCCATACAACAGACAAGGGTCTTATATCTAAAATATACCTGGAACTTAAAAAATTAAGTCCTCCAAAAACAAATCTTCAAAGAAACAACTGCCCAATAAATAAGTGGGATAAAGACTTAAAGAGAAACTTTTCTGAAGAGGAAAGAAGGATGGCCAATAGACACATGAAGAAATGCTCGACCTCTCTAGCCATAAAAGAAATGCAAATCAAAACAACATTGACATACCACCTCACCCCAGTTAGAATGGCTATAATCAAGAACTCTAATAAAAACAGATGCTGGAGGGGATGTGGACAGAAAAGAACCTTACTATATTGTTGATGGGAGTGTAAACTTGTTCAACCACTTTGGAAAGCAGTATGGAGGTTCTTCAAAAGACTCCACATAGAGCTCCCCTATGACCCAGCAATCCCCCTTTTGGGCATTTACCCAAATGTGCACAAACAAGACCATACTATAGCCACCAGCACAACTATGTTTATTGCAGCATTATTTACCATAGCTAAGATATGCAACCAACTCAGATGCCCCTCAGTAGATGAATGGATCAAGAAAATGTGGTATATATCCACAATGGAATTCTATGCTTCCATCAGAAAGAATGACATTGCCCCTTTTGTTAGGAAATGGAAAGGCTTGGAAAAAATTATATTAAGAGAAGTAAGCCAGGCCTAAAGAAACATAGGTCCCATGGTTTCCCTTATTTGCAATAACTAGTATATGTCTGAGTCAAACAGAAAAGGTCAGATAAGGTGATGTTAGGGGAATGAACCCCAAGATAAGTATTCAAATATTTTTTTTCTTTTTTTTCTTTCATGCAATTGTTTCTAACATATTTATAAGATGAATTCTTTGTTGTTTTATATGTCCCTCCCCCTCGGTATAACCCATGCTTTCACTGTATTTCATGTTGGTATAATTTGTGGAGGGGAAGGGAAAAAACAAATCGTTTAACTGGGGATACATGTGGACCCATTGCAACAATGAGATATATAAGTCGTTCTGTCGGAAAACGAACTTAACAACTTTGGTGGGGCAGGGAGGATTGGGTGGGGGGCTAGGGGGAGTATGGGAAGGGATGAGAAGTGGAAACAAAGAGGAGGCAACAATGCTTGATAAGAAATGTACTCATGGGCTGGGAAGGTTTCTCAGTGGTAGAGCTCTTGCCTTGCATGCCTGAGGCCCTGGGTTCGATTCCTCAGCACCACATAAGCAAAAAAAAAAAAACAAAAAAAACCCGGAAGTGGCACTGTGACTCAAGTGGTAGAGTACTAGCCTTGAGCTGAAGAGCTGAGGGACAGCGCCCAGGCCCAGAGTTCAGGTCCCATGACCGGACCACCCCCCCACACCCCCCGCAAAAAAAAATGTACTCATTATCTTGCCCATGTAATTGTAACTCCTCTGTATGGTATTCTCACAATATAAAAAAAAGAAAAGAAAAACAATAAGGAACTACAGTTCCAAACTATTCCAAAGGAATCTTTCAAAACAGAGACCACACCTCCTAGTAATTCATTTAATTCATTTTATCAACAGATACATTTGAAAATCTACCAATCCTTAATCATATATACAAGACATCTTTTGGATTCTGAGAGAAAAAAAAAGATTAACAAAGCTCTCTCTCCTCTCTCCCCCCCCTCTCTCTACTTGTAACTGAGACAAAATAGGCTCAGCTTTAAGGAAATAAACTGCAGATATAGCTATTGATAATTTAGATGATCTGTAGTGAGATATTTTTTGAGCTACCATAAAGCATGGTCAGAGGTGAAGTTTGGGAAGGTAAATTTGATTGCTCTATTCTAAAAAATAAAAAGGTAATGAAAAGTGAAGATCATGTAAAATAGAACAGCTAAGAAATTAGTAGATCTTGGCCTAGGAGGAAATAGAAGGCCAACGATGTTCCAGAGAGTAGTTTTGATATGGGTAGAAGCAAGTAGAACACACACTTGAAGTTTAGATGAAAAGAAATGTAATTGCTTTATTGTTAAAATTAAAATGAAGCAAATGATGGATAACAATTTGCAATCAGAATCTTGGTATATCATACTTATGTTAACAGTGAGGCACATGCTGTGATCATCCAAATTAAGCACATAGGAGTGAGAAACCGAGTTATAAGAGAAAGAGAATGGTGCTAGACATAAAGTTAAGAAGTATCTACATATAAATGATTATTGATGTTAGGGCTGGGAAGGTGGCTCAGTGGTAGAGCTCTTGCCTTGCATGCTCAAGGCCCTGGGTTCGATTCCTCAGCACCACATAAGCAAAAAGAAAAAAGCCAGAAGTGGCACTGTGGCTCAAGTGGTAGAGTGCTAGACTTGAACTGAAGAGCTGAAGGACAGCGCCCAGGCCCAGAGTTCAGGCCCCATGACTGGACCCAAAAAAAAAAAAAAAGAAAGAAAGAAATGATTACTGATGTTATGGGAAGAACGGAAATTCTCTAATAGAAAATGAGCTGAGAGAGAAATGAAGTAGGCCACAGGAAAAATCCTGCAGAATGAATCATTCATAGATTAGAAGAGAGGCTTCCATGAAAAGGCTGGAAAGTGACAGGACAATGCCATGTAAGGAAAGGTGATATCCACCCTGAACTTATTGGTATGAATGGGTCAGATGATCACATATCTTCTGACTTCTGAATATGCTCTTAATGTTCCAGTGTTTATATTCATCTGAGTTTTGTTGTTGTTGTTGTTGTTGTTTGTTGGTCTCGGGGCTTGAACTCAGGGTCTGGGCACAGTCCCTGAACATTTTTTTGAAGGTATTTTATTCTACCTCTTTGAGTCACAGCTCCGTTTCCAGTTTTTGAGTGGACAATTGGAAATAAGAATGTCACAGGGACTTTTTTGCCTGGGCTGGCTTCGAACCACAATCCTCAGATCTTAGCCTTCTGAGTAGCTACGATTACAGGCATGAGCCACCAGTGCCCAGCTCTAAGGTTTTTAGGGTGGTTTCTTTTTATCTTTTTTTCTGTTCTGTGGTTTGAATTCAAAGCTTCACATTTGTTAAGCAGGTGGTCTATTACAGAGCCATGCCTCCAGCCCTAATTTTGTCATACTTTTAAGCCTAGAGAAGACACAACTAAATCAAACTTCTACACTTTATACCTCCAAGCTAATTTCAGATTATTTGATATTACATAATGTTTAATAAAAATTAACGAAGGCTTCTTCCAGGAATGGAACATTGGAAGGTGTTTATGAGTATTCTCATGTACTGTTGTTTTCTTTCTAGAGTAATAATTTCAACTTTATTCTGTAATGTTTTTGACAGACAATAAAGATTATGATGCCTATTTGTCATATACTAAAGTGGATCCTGACCAATGGAATCAAGAGACTGGGGAGGAAGAACGTTTTGCGCTGGAAATCCTGCCTGATATGCTTGAAAAGCATTATGGATATAAGTTGTTTATACCAGATAGGGATTTAATCCCAACAGGAAGTAAGTTAATGTCTTCCTTTGCATAGTCGTTTGAATACTGTTGTATCTGTTTAGAAATATCATTTTATGTAGAATTTTAATGTTTTTACTTTAAAATTGTATCTTTAAATCTTTTTAAATTGTTAGTTTCTTGAAAAAGAAAGCTCTTCATGTACTCACATGAAATTTTAAATTTTGGTGCCCCAAAGAAAATACTTCATTATTCTATCCAGCGTCTTATTCTATGAGCCTTGAAATCAAATGAGACATTTGCACCTGAGCAGAATATTTCTAACCAACTCTATTGAAAGTGATTATTGGCTATTTTGGTCTTCTCATTTGGTGGGTAAATTGCTGTTACCTACCAACCAGCAATTTTCATTTAATGTCTGAGAATCTGCCAAGGCCTTTCAGACCAATTGATCAGTTCACTCATTCTGACATTTTTCTCTTTGTAGCATACATTGAAGATGTGGCAAGATGTGTAGATCAAAGTAAGCGCCTGATTATTGTCATGACCCCAAATTATGTAGTTCGAAGGGGATGGAGCATCTTTGAGCTGGAGACGAGACTTCGCAACATGCTTGTAACTGGAGAAATTAAAGTCATTCTCATCGAATGCAGTGAACTGCGAGGAATTATGAACTACCAGGAGGTAGAGGCCCTCAAGCACACCATTAAGCTCCTGACGGTTATTAAATGGCATGGACCAAAATGCAACAAGTTGAACTCTAAATTCTGGAAACGTTTACAATACGAAATGCCTTTTAAGAGGATAGAACCCATTACACACGAGCAGGCTTTAGATGTCAGTGAGCAGGGGCCTTTTGGAGAGCTGCAGACTGTCTCGGCCATTTCCATGGCCGCGGCTACCTCCACAGCTCTAGCCACTGCCCATCCAGATCTCCGTTCTACCTTTCACAACACTTACCATTCACAAATGCGTCAGAAACACTACTACCGAAGCTATGAGTACGACGTACCTCCTACTGGCACCCTGCCTCTTACCTCCATAGGAAATCAGCATACCTACTGTAACATCCCTATGACACTCATCAACGGGCAGCGGCCACAGACAAAGTCGAGCAGGGAGCAGAATCCAGACGAAGCCCACACAAACAGTGCCATCCTGCCGCTGTTGCCAAGGGAGACCAGTATATCCAGTGTGATTTGGTGACAGAAAAGCAAGGGACATCCCAAGTCCCTGGGAGTTTGAGTGGAATCTGCAGTCCAGTGCCTGGAACTAAATCCTCGACTGCTGCTGTTAAAAACATGCATTACAATCTCTAGAACACGAGGAAAAACAGGGTCTTGTACATATGTTTTTTGGAATTTCTTTGTAGCATCAGTATCTTCCTGTTTTACCATGTCTCTTACCATTACATTTTTTGACTTTGTTTTATATGTCATTAGAATTTGTAAATTTACATTTTTTTTAAGAAGAGACTGATGTATAGATAGAAACCCCTTTTTTGCTTCATTAGTTTAGTTTTAGAATGGGTTTTTAATTTCCTTTTTAAATTTTATTTTGCTTTTAACATTTCCTTGGGGTGCTTGGACAAATCTATCCGATGGGACAAGGAACACTGGATCCTCTCTCGGGTTCTTGCCTAGGACATCCGGGCCATGTTGGCCTTCAGAGAGCAGTGTGACAAATGCCAGCATTGCCATTTGGGAACAAGAGAACGAGAGAGAGAAAGAGAGAGAGAGAGAGAGAGAGAGAGTAACATTTGTTCATAGGAAGGCCCCTCAAGTCAAAGCCCTGAATCTCTTCCTTGTCCCGCCTCATTCCCCATCTCTACCCTTCTAAATGGCAGCATGATGTGTAAACTCTGCGGAGGGGTGGGGGTGGATCTAACTGTCTTAACATTTAATTCACTGCTCTTCAGATTACACTCTAGACCCAAAGGTGTGCTAGTCACGTGACAGTGACCACTGCAGAGTGCTAAGAAGATCAAGGGCATGAAAGAAAATGGGGGAGAGTGTTGTTTCCGTTTTTTAAATGAGTTGATGTACCCTTATATAAATATATATAAATATATAAATATATATGAAACAACAAAACAAAACAAAACAAAACAAAAAAACAAAAAAACCATAAAAAAAAAAAACAAAAAAAATCAAGCCCTATATTTGATCACTTCCTGGAAAGGCATGAATGTGTTTGTGGCTGTTTTTGTTTAATATTCTACTTTCTCTTTTCCCTCTATAATTTTTCTGCAAATGAGATTATGTGCAAATGCCAGGCAAGTTAACTCAAAGGGGTGAATCGAGGCAAGTAAAAATGAAATTTACATTGAAGGCTTCCAAATCTAAGGGAGGAACAGGATATGTCATCAAATATATTTGTCACCTTGTATTATACAAAATGTTATTTTCTAAAGAGTAAGAGAAAAATCTGTGAAACGTATTGTGGGGTCCTCTTGTATTTAAATGTTAACTCGTTTGTATTTACTTTTCCAGGTTACATTCAGAACTGTTTGGTTTCAGTTTGTGAACATAAGCAACACTTATAAATATCAAGGTATTTAAATAAGAACTCAGGAGGTCACACATATAAATAACAGAAATCAGTATCTTCAAAATACACATTATTTACATAAAGTAGTTTTAAATTAGATCAGCAAGTATTTAAAATAATTAATTTTACTGTACAAAGAATTAATTTAATTTTAACTATATGATTCTATTTTTCAGAAACAGAAAGCTGATGCTCCCACAAAATTCACCACTTAACCATTTAGCTTTATGTTTGAAATCAATGACACAAGCAGCTAAGTCATATTCATGTTAGGTATGATGCAAAAATCAATCACAAAGGAACCTGCAGAGGGTGGGGTCATTAACAGGAAATATTACCTACGTAGATTTTTGTTTAAGAAAATGCAATGTGACAAAAACTCTGGTAATAGAACTACTTTAGTGCTTTATTCTTGGAAATTGTTTCCTAGTCATCATCTGTGAGCTCATGGAGAGACTATTTTATGTTTGCTTTATTCTTGCCAATCTGTAATGAGAAAACAATTCTAGAGTTTGGAGTAGAATACTAAATGAATTGGTCACCAAAAAGAAAAAGTGAAAATGGCACTCGACTTCATTGGGGGCGGGCAAGATACGATGGTAAAAGTGTAAGTGATGATTACAAGCATTTTTGGAACAATGTAAACTTCTCAGCATCTGTGTGCCAAGTCAAAGGAACCTTGGGATGTTCATTGCTTTCTATTTGCTTTAAAAATGTTTACTTCCCTGACAACTTGCCTGGGTCCTTCTCTACAGTCTGTCTTTATTCCTGTGCTCCCCTTGGATCTGTGTCACATTTTCACAAACCAGAACTGAAGCTGCAAGGACACATAGAACTTTAAGGTCAGCTTTGCACATTGGGTTATTTTCTGAAACCAAGAAGGCCATTGCTTACTTTGTACTATGGACACCTGTCAGGGACTGGTGGCGGTGAACCTCATTGGACTGGATGCCAGACTCCCCCAGTGTTCAGCAAACTGTAAATGTGGCAATGGCCTTGTTTAATTCTTTGTTTTGTTTTTCTTTTAATTTGTTTTTTCAATTTTAATTTTTTAAGTGCACGATGGCAGTGTGGAATCAATGTAAAGGAAGTAATCAGACCACAGTCATATTTTAGGCATCCATAGGTGTTAATTTAGCTGCATTGGGAGTACATTTTTTTGTTCTATTTTTAGTGTAGATTTAAGCACTTTGAATAGCATGATTCAGGGACTGATGGGTAATATTTGATATTCTCACAATTTAAGAAACCTTTTTTCCTCTAATGCTTTGTCATATTTAAAAAAATAAAATAAATGCAAAAGAGGCTATCTATGGCTTTAGAAACATTCCTCCCAAGTATTTCTCTACCAGCTCCATATGAGAACAACTGAAGGAAACTGATGTGTTCACATGCTCTATGTTTAACAAAAATTTTGTTAGTACTCACAATAAAATGAGAAAAAAAGTATTTCCCCTAGTATTTAGGTTTCATCCTTCTTTTTTTCAGTGGGGTACTGGGGGATAAGAATACTCTATCTGTAAAAATAAATCTAAAATGTGAATATGTTAGCCAAGCTGGGGGGGAGAATGGACTTCCAGACTTGGACATGTGTAATGTTTGGTATTGCCTGTTTTTCATCAATCGCCGCTTGAGCTCTGAATGATACATTATGGATTCAAAAGTCCATCTGGTTCTTTAGTATAACCTTCACTTGCTGCTTATGAGCGTCCTACCCTTTATTCTGGTGCTCAGATCTTTGGTTATTTAATTTTTACCCCATTCCTTAGGTCTTCTGTGGGCAGAGAAGACACTTGTATGTTGTGTATCTAGATGATTTAAATTTAGATCGATTCTATGAAATAAATTCAAGATATGATGAGTTAAGATACATGAACTTATTATATTTCTGTAGCTAAGCATCTGATTGTTCAGTCCATCGTTTTGTGACTGTTATTCTTTTTCATGATATATGTATTTGGACCCTATCCACTTAATCTTAAATATATAGATGCTGGTTTCTTCCATATTTCTCTATTATTAAGTATTTTATAATAAGAGCAAATATTTACTAAGAGCCAACCCCTAAATTCTAAGTAAGCTTTGATTATCTTAGAATACTCATTAACTTTTCAGATACCATGTCTGTAAATCAGGACTACCATTTCTAGGAAAGCATTCATTCATACATGGGTGAACTATTTTCTGATTCTGAAATAAAATCCTACTCCTCCATTCTTGAGGAGTACTTTTTATCTTGTGCTTAATTTCAGCTTCCTTTGTTTCTTGTCCTTTTTTGCTTTTTGTTTATCTTGTTTTTGAGACAAGATCTCATTATGTAACCCAGGTTGGCCTTAAACTCTCAATTCATGTCTCAGCATCCCAAATGCTGAGATTTATAGGCATGTGCCATCATACCTATTAATTTTTATCATACCTATTAGTTTTCAAAGTAGTTTTAGTTCATAGTAGTTTTAGTCCTAGCAGAAAGCTTATTGAAATTCAAAAGACCAGCATCAACTTCATATAAGTGAAATGACTAAATGAACTGAGATACATAGACACAGTAGAGGAAATATTGGTCTCTGATTTGAACCTGATTGGTCATTAGTACTATTTTTGAATAATGGAGATAAACAAGTTGGGAATGCAACCTACAGACCCATATTCTCTAATTGTAGAAATTTGTTTCTAACAATGTTAGTTATTACAAAGAGATGATGATTCAATTGGACTGGCTAAATGGAGTAACTTGTCAATGGAAGCAGAGGCTATTGATTGCCTTATCACAAATCCTTCCCATTTGATTATTCTGAACAAAGAAAGGAACCAACAGTCACACTTTTTTTTGTCAGTCCTGGGGCTTGAACTTAGGGTGGGGCACTGTCCCTGAACTTCCTTTGCTCAAGGCTAGCATTCTACCACTTGAGCCACAGCACCACTTCCAGATTTTTCTGTTAATGTGGAATTAGGAATCGAACCTCAGGCTTCATGCATGCTAGGCAAGCACTCTACCACTAAGCCACATTCCCGGCCCAGCAGTCACATTTTCATTACCCTCAATAAACACTTTTTAACTTGAGTTTGAGGATGCCTTAGACTATCAGAAGCATTACAGGAAATAATAACTCCCTTGAATTTGCAGACAAAGTTGATAGTGTTTATAAACCTATCTCTCTTCCTGGATATGAGTCTCAAGACATCCATCATCCAAAAAACTATTGGCTTTAGAGCATAGTCTCATAAACTGATAGTCAGAGAAACTAATATATCTTGCAAGCACTGTGGGGTCTATCATTCCTTATAATCTTTCATGCAAATTTCAGGGGTGGTTATTCTTCTTCTAATAAAGATAAATGGCCTGACTTTGTGGAAACCCTAGTAGATGCTGAAACAAATGACAAATAAGTCATGCTAATTCAAAGTAGAATTGACTGTGATTATTGGAATAGTTTATTCATTCTTCACTTACTCAAAAGACAATTTTATTGATGTTCAAAATCATACAATTTGGCCATGATGCCTACTTCACTAAACTTATCTATATTTAACCATGTTTCCTACAATAAAACAGTATCCAACAGTATAGAAAGAGAAGAAACAACCATTTGACATGTTTTACCTCCAAAGGACTCAGTTTTTTTTATGCAAAGATTTAGAGTTGTTTATACCTTTGGCTTTTAGAAGTAAGTTTTTCCTAGTTTCATAAACTATAATATGGCTTAGCAACAGCACAAACAATGTTAAGAATAAAATACACTAGTTAAATTGTAGTTTTGTGATTGGTAGCGAAGTAAAATGATAAGAAAGTGAAATTCTATAACAAGGAGCTGAAACATCTGACTAAATCAGAATATAGAGAAAGGTGATGCTAATAAGGAAAAGAGGAGGAAGAGAAGGGGAAGAGACAGAGGAGAGTGAATCCAAGTCTTGATTTTGTGTGCCTTGTTATCCTCAAACTTTAGTTAAATCCATAGGAAATGCACAGAGAGAAAAGAAAGATCTTGGATCTAATTTTTCATTGAATATCATATACTTTTTGTTCTAAGCTCAAAACACATCTCTCCATTATAGAAAAAATATATAATCAAATGCTATATCTTATAAATATGTATGTGTGTATAAATTCCTTCTACTCATTAGTGAAATTTAAATAGCCTCTGGGTCCACTGACAAACTCATGTTTCTGAATTCTTCATTAAAAGAAGTAATATTTTTTTCCCACCATTTACTACCTTCATTGATACATTTCCCAGTATCTGTAAATTTGAAAACTATTCTTTTTCTTACAAAAGCAATCACTAAAAAAATATCATTACACTATGTTCCCTTTACTACTAAAAGAATAGGATTGGAAAAAAAAACTGCACATGAACTTCAGAGTACTACATGTAATATCAATATTGTGTAAGTTTCAGTCTTCATAATCCAGATAATGTTAAGTTTCCAAGGGCATGCTGTGTCATTAAAAAAGATTTAATGTGAAAAGACATTATTACATAGTGCATGAATATGTGGAAAATATGGATCTATCTTTACTAGTCAATGAGAGTTGAAAATTGGGGAGATCAGATGTGAGTGTTTTAGGTTAATTCTCAACTAAGAG